CACTCACTGAGAATCAGATAAAATGAGTGTGTGTGATGGCACATCACATGCAGATTTATCCTCACAGTGAGCGCTGATGTGGGTTTAGATACCATTCCCACCTCACAGCCGAGAAAACCAAGGCTCGGAGATGTTTAAAACCATGAAATGGAATACAAAGGACTTTCATCATTATTATTATATAACTACAAGGCAAAACTCAGGAAAATAGATCCAAAAGGTCATAGGGAAAAGCTGCTATTTGCTTCGCTTCCCTGATTCATTTCCAGCCCTGGTAGCAGAATGCATGAGGAGCCTATGGGAGCCAGGAGAAGTCTGTGTGGGGTGCTTAGCACTGCTGGGCCAGAGAGGGAGGGCTGGACACCGTGCTCCTGAGTAGCCTCTCTGGTCGTCTAGGGCCCGGAAAGCCTTGTGGGTTGAAGCAGACCCGCCAAGGCTAGCTCCAGGCTCCAGAACTGTCTGGCTAGAGCCAGGTGTGAAATCAGAGTGGAAGTGACAAGACCTCCTGGCTGCCCCACTCCCAGGCTCCCAACCCATGGATCTCCCCTGTGGACACAGGGACAGCACCCGGCTTTTATTGGGTAGCTGGGAGAGAGAGAGGTACTGAATTAATACTCGAGACCAAAAGAACTGAATGACCTGCTGTTCTTGTGGGCGGTCTTTGGGCATCAAAACCCCACAAGTACCTCTTCTCCTCCCATCAAATTACCCCAGCATTAGAATTTTATAAATGCATGTCATAGCTAAGAGGGAATCTAGAAACGACCTTGTTCTGCAATCTCAACTTGGAGGCGTTTTGTTGTTGATTACCTATGTATGTGGCAAGGCACACACACGCCCAAGTTAACCAAGCGTCCTGCTGTGGGTCTTTAAAGAGGGTGAAGTGCCGTTTTCTGTGACTGAATTCCTTCCTGTAGCTATGTATGATTGCTCATTGTCCCCCCTGGCTTCTCCTAATCACGCCCTGATTCTTTCACTGAACACATACTATTTGAACACCTCTTGTGCCCAAAGCCTTGGGGTGGATGCAGCTGGAGGGTGGAGGATGTCCAGGTCTCTAAGGCTGGACTCTTGTTCTCACGGAGCTTACAGCCATGAGGTGAACACAACTACACAGATAAATATACAACAAGAGCAGCAAATGCCAGATGCAGAGATAAAGAGCTATGAGAATCTAAGGAAGAAGAATGTGGAAAATACTAATGGCATCATAAATGGCCTTCCTGCTGAACCTTCATGGGACTTGAGAACTGGGGCATGCAGGGGCTCAAGGTAAGGAACGGCACTTGAGACAGAGTAGAACATACTAGAAAGACAGAAAAAGGTGGTTGGATCACGGGGGGAGTGTATGTTCCGATTAGATTGGCGTGTCCTGTTCACCAGCAGGCACGGTGGGGTGTGATGCTGGAAGAGGACCTGGAAGGCAATGAGGAGGAAAGCAGGACCAGCCAGAGCTCTGGGCACCACACATGTGGGCCTGTTTCTCCGGGGCTCCCAGCTCCTCGCAGCGTGTGGGAGGCAAGCCTGCATTCGGGTCTGCAGACAAGCATCCCAGTGTCAGTAGAGCCACCTGTCAGCCATCTTGCTTCAGGAGAGTCTCAATTCTGTGGGTTTCAAAGGTTGTGTCCTGAGATGGGAATAACAATCCCTTCCCTGCTTTGCTCAGGGCGTTGATGTCAGGGTTCAATGATAATGTAATGAAACTCTCATAAACTAAAGAGGACTACAAGACATCCTTTGCAGCCCTCCAGCCTAGATCATACATTTAGGGGACATCAGAATCACCTGGAATGATTTATTAAAAATGTAGTTTTTGGCTCCTGGCAGCAAAGAATTGGTCAGAGGCCAAAAATTGGGACTGCACTTGTTCTCACATTCTCCACTAGAAAAGTTATTACATTCCAATATACACTTGTATTTAAAAACCAATTTTCAGACACTGACTAACTAGCAGTTCGGGACTATAATTTCTGAAAACGAAGTAGCTGAGCCCTGTGGCTGCCTGGCGAGATGAACTTTCAAGACTGCAGTGCAGGAAGGCTGGGCCAAAGCAGAGCATGACCGCTTCTGAGTAAGGACACAGAGCCTGGAGTTTGGGGAGGCCGAGGTGGCTGACTGCACAGGGTGTAGAACCAGGAGGAGCGTTGCCTCTACAGAGCTCCAGGAATCTACAGAGAACCCTCCTGGAGTCTGCTACTGAAGGCTAAGCATGTGTAACGGGAGAAAAACCAGCAGGGAGAAGATGATGAACGGGAGGTTTTAAGCTGGATAAATCCTGCACAAGGCTGAAAGAGGTTAGAGTTCTGACCAGCCAGCCCAAGGAGAAGTGGGCAGCATTCAACCCGATGACAGAACGATCACTCTATAGTAGTAAGGATACATTAGCCCTTGGAGAATGATTAATTTAGTCTTGCCCTAAAAAGTCTTGAAAGGATCAAGTGGGTTGCCATCAACCGGTGAATAAATCATGGCACATCCACACCATAGAATGCTACTCAAAGGAACAAATTATTAGTACCTGTTTTGAAGACATCCCAGGCTGGGTAGGTTCACCATCAGTTCGGACAGCTTAAAAGAGGACCCTGAAGCTCTTGGCATCATTCTCACAGGTTTTTAAATAGTGCTCAGGGGAAACAAGACAGCAGGGAGACCGCAACTTGGCCCCCCTGTGAATCTCTAGATGCTCTTTTCCCCTGGGTTCCTCTCATAGCCTTTACTCACCCGCTGTAGCTGCCTCTGGGTGACGCCGCCCTCATAGGCCTTCCCTCCGAGGCACAGGTGTGCACACTGCACATGCGCACACACCCGTGCTCAGGTGTCCACAATCAGGCACGTGCGCCCCACACTCAAGCACCTTTTAGGTTAACGCGCTCAAGGTCACAGGTGATAGCCACAGAGACGGAAAAGCCTGATCATCTTCTTTTATCCTAGAATACCTATAACAGAATGCAGAGACCGCAAAAGAATTATGCTGAACAAAAAAAGAAAGACACAAAAGAGTAGATACTCCACAATGACCAATTTTATGAAACTCTAGAACAGGCGGAACTAATTTTGGCAGAAATCAGATCAGTGGCGCTTTCATCCTCAACCTCAGTCACCCACCGAGCTGCAGAGGAGCATAAGGCTACTTTACGTAGTGGTAAAAGTTTTTATTACAGGGATGCATATATTTGCCGATTTCCTCTAACTGTGCACTCAAAGTGAGTGGGTATTATTAGTACATGCAACTGAGTGGATATTATTCGTACATGCAATAAAGTTGCATTTAATGAAAGAAAAAAGTTTAAAATGAAACGCTTGGGTCTTATTCCGAGGGATCCCAACATGGCAGGACTAATGTGGGACACAGAAAACAAATTCCATGGATAATTATGCTGCTGGAGGCTATTTCACTTACAGAAACGTTATTGATTTCTATGAGTACCCAACTCGGGGACAGCAAATCAACCAGGCAAGCAAAGAAAATTCAGAAAGGAATTTGAGCTTTTGTGTGCTCTTGCTCCATCCCTACCTCCATTATCTAGCTGGAACATAATCACTACCAAAATATCCTCTTGGGTGCTCTGTTCTCCCAACTGTTGGCTCAGCTGTGGATAAGCTTCCTTCACTCATTCTTTATAAAAGGAAGTTTGCTAGGGAAATAAATGGGAGAAGAGCAAAATAAAAACATGCTACAATTGCAGAGAAACCAATATATTTGCAGAGCACAGAAGTCTTCCCATAAGGTCACTCAAATCTGGTACCACATGGGCCTGGCTTGTCCAACTCACACGATGCCTGGTATCCTGGGGGAAGAGTGGGTGGGTAGGGAGCATGGTGGACCGCCTGTGTGAAGAATGGGACAGTACAAAAACAGGCAGGTTAAGAGAACCGACAGCCCAGTCTCCTTCCTGTTCCATTTTTGTAAGAGGATAGGGTCATTTCTTTGCCAGATTCTTTCTATTCCGTAGTCTTTTCCTGCTATGTGATATATCCTCCTCATCTTTTGCTCCACTGTTCTACCTGTTTAAATCCTTCCATCCTTCATAGCCCAGGTTGAATGACACCGCTCTCTGACCTTATTAGATCACCACAGTCAAACCCAACTTTACCCTCCCCCAAACTCCTAGGGCACTGGCTTGAAGAGCTCATACAGGATTCTTGCTTTGTATTTTAGTTATTCACATGCAAGTCACATCTATTAGATATATAATCTCTTTAATTATAAAAAATAAATATTATGCTAGTTCCTAGTACTTTAGTTAGGTCTTTTTATACATATTTACTGTAGAAATCAATGAATGATTTAGTTCAAACTGTTTCATATCTCTGTTCCCCCTTTCTGGAACACTCTTCCCAATTCAAGTGTTACTTCCGCCAAGATGCCTTCCTAGATGCCAAAACTTTGGGGATCCTATAGAACTCTGGTACATTTCTACTTTATCACTGACAACCACCATCATATACAGAAATTAAATAGTTACTACCTGTTTCATCTACTTAGTAAAAAAATCCCCTTCTAGTTATCTTTATCTTAACACTAACCAGCCCAGTGTCTGGTAACAGTATGAATTTCATAAATGTTTGTCAAACAGAATGTTCTCTCCAGAAGTTTCTGGAAGGATTAGCCCATGACACAGAGTGCCTGGTTTATTTAATCTGTGTTGCTAGTAAAGGGCTAAGATGGTCCTCAGGTCTCATTCCCACAGAAAACCCAGCACCAGCAGCCTTTCTACTGGAAGTTTCCTCAGGATAGATGCCTTCTAGTGTTCACAGTTAATACTATTTTCCTTGTGGTCCAGGGAATCCCTCGCATAATAGTGCATCTTCTCCTCAGGTCTTTAAGCTGTACCCCCAGCCTCTGGGATGGCTGGACACAGGAAAAAGAATTCGTGATGCTTTCACAGTTGCAAGACTTCCTCCAAAAAACATTTCTCTCTCTCTCTCTTAGTCCTCGTCTTTCCCTTTTCTGCTTTCTTTGGTCTCTGCCTCTCCTCTTTCCCTCCTTTGTTAAGCACTTCTCTTCTCCTATTGTCCCACCGCATTTCTTCAGTAACACCGTTTCGGTTTCTCCCGCTTCCCTTTTTCTCCACATACAGCCTACTGAGCACGGTTCTCTCTCGTTTAGTCTGCTTCTCTGCCCCCACTCTCACTGGCCTCCCACCTCTCCTCGCTACCCTGCAGGAAGCTGAGACTCCTCACGAAGCCTAGAGATGGGATGGTAGGTGGGTGGGCACTGGCGTTGCGGTCCCGCCCCTCAGTGCGTGTGTGAATGTCTGTGTGGCGGTGACGCGGTGCCGGCGGCGGGGGAAGGAGGCTGGGCCCGCCAGAGAGGATCGCTGGGGCTGCTCGGCTCCTGCGCGCCCTCCGCTCCTCGCCGCCTGCCGAGGCGCAGGCAGAGCGCAGGCGGTGGCGGGCGGCATGGAGAGCCTGCTGGAGAACCCGGTGCGTGCCGTGCTCTACCTCAAGGAGCTCACGGCCATCGTGCAGAACCAGCAGAGCCTCATCCACACCCAGCGCCAGCGCATCGACGAACTGGAGCGGCGGCTGGACGAGCTAAGCGCCGAGAACCGCAGCCTGTGGGAGCACCAGCAGCTGCTGCAAGCCCAGCCACCGCCTGGACTCGTCCCTCCGTCGCCAGCCCGGCTGCCGGCTATACCGGCAACCCCCACTACTGCCGCCGCCGGGGCCCAGGAACCTCTCCAGAACCACGGACAGGTCTCGCCTGCCTCGCCACAGCCCACACCAGAGCAGCCACCGATTCAGCACCACGGACAGCTCCTGGTGCACCCCCAGCCGGGCCCCAGCGGCAGGGCTCACGCACCCCAGTCACCCCATCAACACCCGGTGGTGCCCGTGGCCGTGGCCGACAAGGAGAAGGAGCGTCCTCCGAGTTGTTGCGCGGCCGCTGGAGCCCTCCTTCAGCACAAATCCCCCGCTACCCTCGGCAAGGGCGTCCTGAGCAGGAGACCCGAGTGAGTGGGGAAGAAGGGATGGGGACTGTTGTGGTGGGAGAAAAGGGAGCAGATGGGTGTGAGGGGGTGACGAGGGGAATTCTGGTGCACTGAAAGTCTGAATTTTCGAGGGTAACATGAAGTGAAGGGGTGAGAAGATATTTGGGTGGGAGGAGTGTGTCAAGGAGAGTGGAGGAAATGATCTCCGTGTTTGAGAATGTTTGAAGGATGCTGGAGCAAAAGGGAGTATTCAGACCACCGCCGGGAGCAAAGAAGGAAAGAGATGGGTTTTAAGTGATTGGGGATATTGGGATCTGGATGGTTTTAAAAGGACAAGATTGGGAGGAAGTTGGGGTGAAGTTAAAACTGAGGGAAAGAGAACAGCTGAAGATTTTTTTTTTAAGTTAGGAAGAATTTGGGAGGGAGTTCAGATAGTAAAATGATCTGAATGGAAAGTGAGCTATGAAAAAACAGAAGCATGCCAAAGAGGCTTGTAAAGAGCTTTAAAAGACTCAGGATCCAGGAGGGGTCTAAGAGGATTCAAGAGGCAGGGGATAAGGAGACAGTGGTGTGATAATGGGGGGCTGGAGATAGAGAAGAATGAAGGGTGGAGGAAACAGTTTCCAGAGAAAGGAGATGGCTCTTTTAGTGATGCAGTGGGAGTCAAAGCCAAGAGTGGCTTATTTGGGGGTGCTTACTCTGCTCTGATTTGAGGGGACGTCTTTCTTCTGAAACCCCATAGAGTCAAAGGGGTGTGAGAAACAACCCCCAAGTCAATGGAGGATTCAGCTACAGCATGTGAATTCAGTCTAGTTAGAGCTTTCCCATCTGACTCAAAGAAAATTTCTGTGCAGAGTGGTTGGCAATCATGGAAAGAGAACAATGAGGAGAAAGACAGTTGGCAAACGGAGTTGGTATTTGGATGCAATTCTTGCTTAAATCTCTGTTGTGGCTGGTGACTGCAAATCTTGCCTTTCCTGGTTATCTGGTGATAACTGGAATCTCTCTGGAGACTGGGCTCAGAGAGAAATGTGTAAATTAACCCCCGTGAGGGACTCTAGGACCTGAAGCTATTTACTCCTGAGATCTATGAACTAGGAACATGGGAGAAAGGGGTGGCTGCAATATTCTCTCCTCTGTCCTGGGAAGGCTATAACCATGCAGGCTCCCTTCCTCTGATTAGACAGGTGATGGGGAGATTGCAAGGAATACTGTCTCAAGAGGAATTAGTACCTAGTCAGCACCTATACCTGCTAATTGCGATGCTGAAAGAGTTGGGTAAGGTGGGGAGAGAAGGAGAAAGAAGAATCAAGAATATCATCTTCATTCAGTCTCGACGTGCTTTAAATCTGGGAATACTTGTGATGATTCAATGTATTCCTTAGAAGCTCATTTTGTCCTCACATCTACTGTAAAGTGGAGAGGCTGGGTCAAGGCACGTTTACTCACAGGATAGATTTGACCAGAACCATGAGGTCTTGGGAGTGAAGAGCTAGGATGTCTTGGCAGAGCTAATGCATTTCATCCAAGTGCCACGAAGATGTTTTCCTCCCAGCTTCCTTGGTGCTCTTTGTCCTTGCTTCAGTTTCATGGTTTTCTTTCCATATCTAGCATAAAAAACAGAAATCAGTTTCCCTCAATGCCTATTGGTTAGCACAATGCAACATTCGTCCAAGATACTATGCGGCTTTTCCTCCAAACAGGAGGAAAAGGGCTATTTCATTTCTCTGGAGGCAACCCCAGCTTCCTGGTAATTGTGGATCTTCACCTGACTCCCTTCTTCATGCTCTTTGGTGAGTTCTCCACTTTCTTTGCACGTCTTTAGTGGAAGAATTCCTTCAGGGCTGAGGAAAAATAATTTTTCTTGGGTAATGACTTTGCTATGCCCCCCCTCCTCCCCAAGTACCTTGAAGAACTCAGATATTCCTACCCACATGCTTTTGCAGGGAACCCAAGGATTTAGGAACTCCTGGATTCCTAATCTGGCATAGTGCCCTTATCTTTCCTTTTCCCTCATCCTGCTTTAGCTTCCTAAGAGAGCAGAATAAGAATTAAAAAAGCATTAGAATAGAGGAAGAAAGTAGAAGTTGCTGGACATCTTCCACTCAAAATTGTACCAGGCTCTAAGAGGTTAATGCCACCAGAAGTTCCTTTCTCCTAATCTTCAAGGTTTCCCAAACCTGGACACCCAGAGAGGTAGAGCACGGATATGCATGTTTCACTTCCTCACTGCAACTCTCCTTCCTCTTAGAAGTGAAATAATGAGCAGCTAGCTCCACAGCCGAATGCCCTTTGGACCAAGCATTCCCTCCCCCAAGTTTTAACTAACTTCACCCCAAATTTCCCCCTCAGGAAGGAATCATTTTTATTGACCACATATGTGTCTCCATCTTTGTTACCTGAGACGCTCACTTTGTTTGTCCTCTGCTGTGCCTCTTGATGGTGCAGAGCTAGATGCAGCCAGCGGGCAGGGAGAGAGCTCCAGGCCTAGGGTGAGGGAAAGAGAAGCGCAGAGCCAGCAGGGTTTTCTTTGGTGTTTCCATGTGGGAGCTCCTTGGAGAATTTGTTCTCAACTGGGTCTGCCAAAGTATGAGGAAGAGATGGTAGAGGGGGAATCGTTGATGGTAGAGCATCGTTGCAATGTCCATCTATTCTCCTGCTTTGCGTTTCCTTCTCTGGTCTGATTATAGTGAGTATATGGGCTTAGCGGGGTTGCTGATGGGTGGGTGAGGATTACCCGGAGTCAAGACACTGTGTTATATGCATTATTTCATGACATAATTTGTTCTTTTTCCTGGAACTCCTCTTCCTGGCCAAAACCAGGAGCCCTGGGGAACCCAGAGCTGGGAAATAATGGATTGTTTAATTGTCATCTGATCTGCATTAATATGCAGTTTTGCTGCTCTCCCTCCTTCCAGCCAGGGAGATGTGAAGGTGGTGGCTGTGGAGGTCAGGCCAAGGAAGGCACTGTATGGGGGCGGCGTGCTGAGATAGCTGTGTGTGTGGGGGGGCTGGGGGTGAGTGCAGAGACATCATGGAAGACACTCGAGGGGTTAAAATTCTTTCTCTGCAGGCTTCCTGGCTCTTGCTAAGCTCCAGCCCCCACTGCTTTTGCCTCTTAATGAAAACAGCAATCGTAGCTTCCTCCTCTTTATTTTTTCAATCAAGGCTCACAGCATCTACAGAATTGATTATCCTTCTGGCTCGAGCCAGAGACTCGGCCTGACTGGCCTGACCAGCAAAGTCTCCTCCTAGCCATGCAAGCACATGACCCTCCCCAAAGCTAGTGGCTTCAGAGTGACCACAGGTTCTCTATTTGAGCAATGTCCCCATATGCCAGGCCAGGCACTTAGAACCCATGGTTCCCAGGCCATGGCCATGTCCCCAAGTCCTTGGGCAGCTGACCACTGGAGACTGGGTAAAATTCTTGCATTATAATTCAAAGTCAGATCCTGGCTGGAACGCCCCACCTCGAAGGGACTATGACGTCGCAGTGACCAGCAGCTCCTGTCCTCCTGTCCTCTTTTCCTTTCTTTGTCTTTTATACTCTTTTCCCTCACTATCTTCCTTCTTTCTCTTTTTTCTTCCCTCTTCCTCCTTATTTCTCTCTCCCTCAAACATCTTGTCTGCCATATTTTCTTCCTTCTATCCTCTATATTCATTCCTCTCTCTCTCCTCCTATCCGGTAAGCATGGCATAAATCTTGAGTCATCCTTTGAGCTCCATGGTCTCAAACTGACTAGGGCTGGGATGGCCAGAGGATTACTGCAGGTGCTTCTTAGCTGAGCTGCTGAAGATGCTGGTGGAGGCAGATGCCTCTGCTCTTGCTGCGTCAGGGGGTCTGTTTGGAGGAGGCAGGCTGTGACCGGCCCATCCTGGGAGCTATTAAGAGAGTGTGAAGATCTGTCAGCCAGTCAGTTCTATCAAATTCATTCAAAACCCTGCAGTCTTCGCTGTGGAAAGAGAGGAAAGAAATAGTCATTGCTTAACATACATAAGACGTATATCTAGAAACATTTAAACAAGTATAAGTAGGATATCATTGCCTAGATCTATTCCCTATCAGATAGGGTAAAAAGGGTGAGGATATACAGCGTGTTCAGAGTCCAGAGGGAAGACTTTTTTTGGTTGGAGTCAGGGCTTATGTCAGGAATAGTAAGAGCCAAGAATAGCTGGAAAGGGGACAGAGCCTGGAAGACTCAATCCACAGAGATATCTGTATTGCATGTGTACCTCACCCCATTCTCTGACGGTGCAGTCCCTCCTCCTCTAATCATCTCTCACCAGCCTGAACCCTGTCAGCAGGGTAAGAAGAGCTGTGACACACACACAGGGCCTGTCCTGCCTCCGCGTACTTGCTGAAAATGGGCCAGACCAGAATGAGGCTCACCAAGGGAGGGGTGTGTGTCATTTCCCTCAGCTGGTAGCTACAGCGTTGGCACACCTGTGCACATTTGCTGCTCCCTACCTTTCTAAGAGTCCAGATCATGCATCTTTCCTCCCGTTCACCTAAAAGTCACACAATTCAAGAGAAACAAGTCACCCCTGGCCTCTGGGAAACACTCGTGGCTCTCTCCTCCTCAGCAGTCCCGCACCTTGCCGCACCACGCTCTCCTTCCTTCCTTCCAACCCTTCCCAGTACCAGACAGCTAATACCACAGGGCCTCACAGAAGCATCCTGGCATGGTTCTCCACTGGCTTGAAACCAAGCAAGAGGAGCAGCAGTTGCTCTTGCTGATTCAGCACATATCCGTGCAGCCTGAGTTACAAAGGTCACTTATGAAGAAAGGCGGGGGGATCTGGTCTGGTGAGAGGGAATGAAAGGGAGGATGACGGAACTTAACAGTTGGACCCAGGGCCTGGAGAGAGACTTGGATCCTGAATTTAAATCCCATGTACAGATTTTCAGACAGAACAGGTCTGAATAGGTCTGTTTAGGACCCCTTGGTGGGGTCCTAAACATTTTCTTGCTGGGGCTCAAACATAATTTCAGTGGCCCTGGACACAGAGCAGCAGCAGCT